CACCCAAGCCTTTTGTACGGCTAGCAAGCCAATAGCTAGCCGCCACGTGTGCCTACATTAAGACTGGCCAATAATGTGGCGTGAATCCCAATACAAATGGCAGGGACTCCTTGCATCGCGCATTACTATAATGCAAAAGAAATGCACTATGCAAAGAAAACTACAGAACTGGTGGGAAAAGCTCCTGCACGCAGGTTCTCTGTTGCAGCAGAACACTCCACCGTGCAAAAGAGCTGCAATTTGGTGGGAACATGATTTAGCGATGCCGAAGCACACTCAAACAAAAAAACCCACAACTTTGGGTTGTGACAGCTTCAAAGTCCTATCTTCCCACAGTCAGCTCTGGGCCCCTGGCCCTGTACAGGTGCACCCACTAGTGCACTGGGCTCTTTGGCCCTTTATGACTGCACCCCGTGGTACTAATGAGGCCTCTACAGCTCACATTTTCCATGGCTCTGTGCTTCTGCTTCTGACTGTCTGCTGTCCTCCTTCTTGTGGGGCTGCCGCAGCTTCTCTGGGAGTCATCAGGAGTCCACCCTTTCTGCAGCTGAGCCCCCTTGGCCAGTTCAGCCCAGGGTTTTTATAGTTTTGTCTTGCCCCCTTCCCATCACCTGGCCAGCTGGCAGGGCTCAGCTTTTAACCCCTACCTGCCAGCAGGCTGTGCCTGGAAAGTTCTGGTCTTAAAGGAGCAGCCTGCTTTCTGGTAACAGGGCTAGGGTTCCCTGTTACACCATTTTAAGTCAACCAGATATTTCTCCACATGTCACAATTATAGAAGTAATCCTTGGAGAATATTGGGTACTTCTCCTACCTGGGAGCCACCTTCTCAAAAAGTAAACATAGATGACAATATTTAAGATTGGATAAAATATGCCAGCACTGTCTTTGGACATCTCTGTAATCCTGTTTTCAATAATGAAGACATCAGGATGCAAGCCAAACATCTTGTCTATCAGGCTGTTGTCATTTGTACCTTGCTGTATGGGCATAAAATCTAGATGACATATAAGAAACACATGAAAGCTTTGAAAAGTTAGCATCAGCCATGTCTTTGGAAAATCCTCCATATCAGTTGGAAGAACAGAAGAACAAATGCCAGCATAATGGCTCAAGCAAAGTCTACCAGTATTGAAGCCATGTTTATACAGTACCACTTCCATTAGATAGGATACATCATAAGGATGCTTGACAACTGGCTTCCAAAACAGGTCCTATACTCCCATCTCACTGATGGTCGCTGCTCTAGAGGTTAGCAAAAGAAGAGATTCAAGACATCTTGAAAAGCAGTCTGAAGAAATGTGATATTAACATTAATATTTAGAGACTTGAGCACTAAATCAACCCCAATGGTGACATGACATATGACAAGGTATTGATTACTTTGGGCAAATTCACCTCACTATGGAGGGAGATAAATGAGAGACCCAAAGGGAACGCTGTAACCCAACATTGCCAGGACTTGCTCCTTCCTCCTGGAACTATTTGGCATGTTTGTAGTTAAACATATGGATCTTGGATTGGCCTCCTACAAACTCAATCATGACCCCCCTGTTTACTGAAAGACTGTCCTCATATTGAGGGATTGCCATCACCACTGTCAGTAACCAGCAGACTATATAGAATAAAGGTTTTCTTCTAAAAAACCCACAAAGAATCCCCTATTTGGGGATTAAGTTGCTGTTCTATTTGAGTATTTTGTGAAGGTCAAATGTTACTTAATATAATTGGTTGTAAAATTAAAGAAATCCCCTAAATTAAAGAAATCCCCAAAAGTAATATACTACTTTTGGCTAAATTCAGATTGACTAGAGTTAGGAAATGATCATTTTGTCCCCTTTCAGTCATTACAATAATTCTTTACATTAACAAGTGAGCAATTAGAATACTAGAGTGGAATTCTATGACAGTAAGGCATTCCATAAATGTTAGCTGAAGAGCATGGTTCACCTTTTGGCATTCAACACAGATAAGCTGGAAGATCTGTTCTGCTCAGTGGCCAAAATTTTAGATTCTTGCTTGAAGCTGTCAAACATCTGTAGTGGGGGTATCAGCAAGTAGGAGCAAAGGGCAGTAGTTCAGATGAGAGAGGCATATGCTCATCTTAAAAATGTGCCTGAAATTAGAAAGAAATCTAAATTAAAGATTATATTTTGTCCTCATTTATGCCTAAGCAATCAAGAATAAATGCTCTTTGATTTTTTTTTTTTTTATGAACTCTGTTTTCTATGTTTTTCTAACTGTGCTTAGCTAGAAATGAAGGCGTGCCCATCTAATGCAAATTACAATTCTTGCACCTCATCCCTGCTACATTATATTTTTTGTAGTATAGGTTTGGACTAGATTGGGAGAAAATGTTGAGTGTGTTTGAGTATTCAATGGAAATCTGAGTAGAAATATCATGTGAAAAAGGCGTAGTTCAGCTCCTGGCTGTGCATTATAACTCCAGTGTAAATACTCATGGTGCAGTGTAAGTACTCATGGTATAAGATACTATTCAGTAAGAGAGAGTTTACATCAGTCTGCCCCTATAATTGGCCAGAAATACTGTGACATCAGTGATTCTCTTTTTCTGTACATCAGTGATCCTTAAAACTCAAGACATCCCTCAGTAGGTTCAAAACACCCCTTGGAAAGTGCCCGGTTGTAGTTTTCACTTGTTTCTTGATTACAGAAAAATAACAGAGCAGATTTTCTTTTGCAAAGAACTCCACAGGTCTACAACAGACCACAAGAGATCATAATGTTTTTGTTTTTAACACTATGGATTCCTATTTGAAATCTCCGGGTTTATCTTGTGTAACATGTTTGCACACCTAACACTGCTATTGTTGTGCATCACCCTACAACACCCTTGACAGGATCTCAAGGCATCCCAGGCTGCCACAGCACATTGAATGAGAATCATCTACTTTAGATGTTTTTTTCTCAGCTGACAGTTAGAATCAAAGTATGGTAAAGACTAAGAATTTTGGAAACATGCTCAATGTTTTATAAACTTCAGAGAGTTAAACATCTTAGTTCAAGTCTTGAGCAAATATCAGAGAGAACTATTTTTAACCAATTCTGTTCGCCCATCTCTTATTTCAATAAGACATCTATATAATTCTCATGTTTTCTAATGTAATATTTTGCATATTTATAGTACCTTTCATTTAAGGGTCTTAGAGTGTTTTTAAAATGTTAATCTGTGCATTTCTGGCTTTTTGCATGTGAATATAAATCAGGTTAAGGTTATCATTAAATTGATTTATGAAAAAATAAAGTGTTTTTCCAACAGGGCAGGGCCTGCAGTTTTCACCAAGCTGATGACTTCAAAGGGGCACAATAATAGAGTTCTGCTACAAATCTCCTGGGATCAGCAGAAGATATATAGTAAAACCAGTGCCTTATGACCTATAACAATGCTAGTTTTCTGCATTGTTTACATGCAAGGTGTAAAGTTTTGCTGTCTAAAGCCCGAACCCCCTACTAACACTTACACAAATGCTTAACTTCAACTGTACGGTGTGCAAAATTAAGTATGCTTGTTTGTTTTAGCAAGGTTAGGGCATGGAACAATATTAATCCACTGATGAATAATTGTAGCAGGGGCCAGGCCAAGCCCTATCCTCCCTGGGACAATGGTCATGAGTAGGCTCCTCAGGCAGCAGATTCCCAGCTGGGCTCACAGAGGAAAGGGGAACCCACGTGCTGATGGCATGCTCTGCTACACTGCTGAACAGGCAACCAGCATGCAAAAGAATCCCCTCAGGCCCCGTTCCTAGGCTTGGGCAAGGGTCAGAACCCCACCCCCATGGGGGCACAGGTGGTGGCCAGAGAAGAAGGCCAGTGGCAGGCACAAAAAGTGCCCCCAGGAGATGGCAGGTTCAGGGGATAATGTGCTCATCTGCAGCTCTTAGCACCTGCCAGCCACAGCGGGGCACGTGGGGGTAAGCTAGGGATAGGGTTCGCTCAGACCAACCCGGAACTTCTTCTGAAATGCTGCATCAACCCCAGGTGATGGGGAATGCTGACACAGGCCAGACTGCCTATAAGGTTCCTTCCTGGAGACAGAAGACTGGGAGCCAAGGACTAGAACCACTCCAGCTCTCCGGACAAAATCCTGACTAACACTCGACTGTGGAAGGTCAGGTACCTTTGGGGGCTGCTCTGGGGTTCGTGATATCCCTGCCCCATGTTACCTAAAAGGTTTGGCTCGGGATGGACCTGGCCATTCAACCTTAGCCCAGATAAAGGGCAAGACCCAAAGAGCTGGGCTGCCTGAGGAAAGGTGTCTGAGATACCCTGTCAGGCCAAGGGAAGGCTGAAAGCAGGCACAGACGCATCCATTTGAGTTATATTAGTTTATTTGTTTATTTTATGTAGTTCAAACCCTGCTGACCATGGAACTGCAGCATCACCCCCTAAGTTATTAACTAACTAATCTCCACAACACCCCAGTGAGTCTGGAGGGCACAGCTGAAATGGGCTGACTTCAGGAAATGCAGTCCTTTTCTGTCACTGATTCTTCCAGTCTGAGTGACATGGCCACAAGCCTGGCGTGGCCAGGCATCCGTACCAAGCACCAACAAAGAAGAGCAGAGAGGAAAGGGATGGGGGGTAGGGAAGGTGGAGCCCCACAGAAGATCCACAGACGTCTAGACTAATGCCAATTGCAGCCAACTCTCTTCACTCAGGTACCACCTCCTGATTATATCTTTTCAGTTACAGCAAGCCATGGCAGTTGAGGTAGTAAAACAAGAGAGTGAGATACGTGCTGAGTGCATGGCATGCGGGCCCCATCCCAGTGTAGCCGCTCAGCCTGGGTCCCTCTACAATAATACAATATCTGATAGTCTGTGGCATAAACTGAAGCTGATAATAATACTCTGTGCTTATATAATGCCTTTCCTCCATATATCTTAGAACACTGTACAAAAAAAGGTAATTTTTGTCATCTCCATCTTCCACATTTTGGCCCAGAGAGGCCAAGTGACTTACCTAAGAATGGCTGGAAAAAAATATAAATAATCTTTCCTAATGATACCTTAAAACAGTGTTTCTCAACCAGTGGGTCATGTCCCACTGGTGGGACTCAGAGGTCATGTAGGTAGGACTTCAACTCATTGCCCGATTGAAAAAAATCAGTTGTTTGCACTTCAAATAGATGAATCAACAGATATCTTGAACAGTGCAATTTTGTGGGGTTTTGTTTTTATCATCATGGGACCAGGGTTTTTTGATAAAATGGTTGGTGGGACATAAGGTGCAAAAGGTTGAGAACTGTTGACTTAAAAAAACAGACCTATGCTACTGTGAGTTTAAATCTGCCACCAGATGAATTCTTATTTCTCAAAATCTGGTTATTTATTAGAGGCAGGAATCAAAAGGTTGTATTCTTCTTCCTGCTCCCCTCAGAATAACCATTTAGAACTATTTCTACCTCCAGGACTAAGCAATAAATGTATTTCTAAATTCCCCCCAAATATTTTTTTTATTTAAAGACCAAATATTGCAACTCTGTCTGTTTGAAAAATAAAAGAAGTTACAATTTCCTTTCAAAGCAAGAATTAACACAACTCTTAACTATGGAGCTACCATTTGGTGCCTTTGTAATGAGAGCAACAATGCTACCCAACTCACTGGGGTGTTGTGGGGATTAGTTAGTTAATAACTTAGAGGGCGATGTTGTGTATATACTAAGTATTATTAGTTCTTCTGAATGCAAATCTTGAAAACTGTGACTAAAGCTTCAGCTGTCTCATTGATGTTGGCTGAGGTAAAGCAGGCTAAGAAGCTGCAAGAGAGAAAGAGACCCTATGAACTGTAGACAAGTAAGTAAAGACTTTCACATCTGGGTTGTGATACAAATAATTTAAACTTTATATTCATGCTTAATACATACATATATAACGTACTCTGTTCACACTTGTATTTAATTTTTCCATTTAGTAAAGTCTAGGAAACATAATGTTACTGATTAATCCCACGTTACTGATGTTGAGAGGCCCAAATGTCACTTCCCCCCCCGCCCCAAGAAATAGCTGTACTAAGGAGCAATTTGAATCTGCTTAAAATTTCTATGACGTGCAAGTATATTTTAATATTGTAATACCCTCTGCCCCATTGTTCATTCAGAAAACAGGAGCATATTGACAATGATTCCTTTTCACTGTTTGTAGAAATAATTGAAAGTAAGGGAGAAGAGTATAAACTGAAAAGTAAGATTAGCAACAAAATTCTCCCATATCCTGAAGTCTCTAGTCTCATAACCTGTTCTCCTAAACATGAGATTTCAGGAAAGCAAAATGTTATCTATCATCTAAATTAACTCATCATCAGAGTACCCAAATGCCTATCAGAGCTGATTTTGGGAGCTGAACCTTTATGAACATTTGACTTAAAAAAACAGTGTGCATGGTATGCAGGAATACTGAACGTGAAGGAGTCTGGAGAGAATATAAATGTTTTGTCTAATCCATTCAGAATTCACAAGGATTGCTACCAAATTCTGTTTTAGTTTCTTCTTGGATTCAAGGTAAAGGCAGCTGTCTTCCTTCAAAAGGTTGTCAGTACTTCAGCTTAAAGAAGCCTTTGATGGTTCTTTGGACAATGACTATTCCATCCATGAAGATGTGTGGAAGTTGCTAAAAGATAAAACCCAAGACTAGCCAGATTTTTTCCTCTCTGTTTATTTTAAAAGGGACTTTGTGCTAGTGAAAAATGTGTAGTCATTGACTTTTTATCCAACCCCCTCTAGGTGTTCCCTTGAACTACTATGCCAACCCTGGAGAGTCTATACTTGTGAGTGAAATGGGGGCACAAGCTCTGTGGTACATTACATAGTACATTACATGCTACCATTATACAAAAAAGTGATGGTTGTGAATGATTTTACCATACTCCATCTGCCCCACCATTGCAGCATTCACAAGCTGTGCCTGGTACCTCAACATACGTAGAAGAAACATTTAAAGTTGTGCCTATGGCCAAATCGCTGATTCTCCAAATCAGCATCAAATTTTCAGATTTGGATTTGGCTGAATCAAATCAGGGATCAATTCAGTGATGAATCGAATCACTGTCCCCAATTTGGGCCAAATCCAAATGGACTAGGGCCCATTTCCCACACCCCTATCAGATATTATGGCGATTAGTGTGGCACACTAACTTATGAAATAGTGTAGAAGGCCATATCACTGTCCTGGCATCCACCTCCTGACCTGTCATCACAACCAGCCATGTACCAAATGGTAGCTATGTCCTCCTCTACCTACCTCTCATCTTTCTTTTTCAGACCCCTACTGTATTGAGTGAGGGGTTGTCCAGAGATTGCAGAAACCTAGGAATAATGGAGGAAAGGTATTGCTACGTCAAAGATGCCCAAGGCTGCACCAACTGGGGCCTGACTGACTGACTGTATTGAATGTTTGGGTATTTTTTATTAACTTAGGAATGCAGTATTCACATGTGAAGTAACAGGAGTGACCAACAACAGTCTGGGAGGAGGAAAGGGGGCAAGTTATGTAAGTTAACATGCATTTTCTGACACATAAAATGACCCTGACACAACTCAAGGTTTTCTGGAGTATCAAGTATGTCTGAATATTCCAATAGGGTGACCATTCCTTTGGCCAGGTCTTGGAGCTGAGCATTTGGGTATGAATAATCATGTCTCTCTGAAAATTCCATAGCCGAAAAGGTGCTTATTCCCATTTGGGTTGTGTACTAGACCACTTGAACTCTTGGAAACTTTTTGAAAATTCTGGCATTAGAATTCAAATAGAAAATTCTAAGTTAGGGGTATAGAACCAGTCTATACTCAGATTCTATACCATCATCTAGCTTTCTCAATACAAGTTAGAACCGCTCCCCGCAAACCTTAACTAGTTACCTCAAAATACTAGCAAAAGATGGCCTTGTATCTACCCATCATTCATATAACAGCTAAAGATGATCTGATACTTTTGGTTATCTCAGTTTATAAGTCAGAAAAGCTTCTTACCCAACCCTAACCTCCTAATATGGACTGCTAGTCCCTATGCTTCCTTCTTACATTACCTTATTGCCCTCCACTCCCTACAAATGCTGGAGTTGCCTCCTCTTCCCTCATTTAGGACTACCAATCCACTTCCTCTGTACATCTTCTGGATATAGGAAAAGGGACAGGGTTATGTTGTTATATCTTGAAATGTATGCATTCAGTCAAAAAGTAGAAGAGAAAACTAATTCTTTGAAGTCCCTCCCAGGAGCATGAGGATTTGAAGGAGAACCAGCTTCACAGAATATTTCTGGATTAAATCTAACAATCCAATCACGTCCTTCCTTTTAAATGCAACGAGGATAAGCTCCTAATGGGGAATTGGTCTGTGTTTTCAGCATGCCAGGAAAAAGGAAAAAAAAACTCAAAGCCAAACCAAAGCATTCCAAGCATCCCACTGCCCTTATTGTCCTCAGTAATCATGGAACAGTTGGAGAACTATCCTATTAAAAAACAGAGGACGACAATTTCCTGTTTCAGCATGAGGCATAAGTGCACTTTCCCTGCCTGGCTTCTTGATTGTAGCAACCTCCTCATGCTAAATTGAAGGACTTCTTGCTGGGGAGCTGGGATTGAAGAGAAAAGCCCCTCCCCCTGCAGATCACAGAACTCTTTCTCAGTCAGCATACAACAGAGAAAAATCCTCTGCAGAGCAAGAGGTTGGCAATTAGACCGTGGGAGGACAATTACTCAGCAAAAGCTTTTTGTATAGCAAATACAGGACTTGTCCGAGTCTGGTGTATTGCCTATCCTCCTTCACCTGCTGGTCTAGGATACCTGTCAGTATATTGTGGAAACAATTAACACAGAAACAATAACACATGATTTGTATAGTTAATGAGTCGTTCTGCCCCTTTCCTCTGCAGTTGATATTAGGATAATGCTTGTGCTGTCCTGATACTATGTCAGTAGGAAGTTGTTGGATCTTTCAGTGTCACTGAAATGTCTCTGATACACTGGGCAGAGAAATCTTCATTAGTTATCTTGTATTACTGCTGAGTGTACTGGGGCCATTTAAGCTCTGGGTATTTATTCTGGAATTACCAAACCACCTTTGGCCACTGGTCCAGGTAGGCCAATATCACTTAGCTAATACCAGGTGCTTCAGAGGATGGCACAAAACCTCCACATAAATCTCTGGCAATCCCTCGCATTTGAGGATTATTATCTTCCATGATTGTCCTAGCTGGGTCTGAATATGGCTGATGAGGCCAATGTGGGATTGACAAACTCTGTTGCAACTTGAGCATGCGTTTCTGTGCAGGGTGGTTGATTCTTGATTTGATCCGTGACATGCTGTTTCTACCACTCCTGCTTTTTCATCTCCTGTTTTCATTGTGAGATTTCAATGTACTGAGATTCTTGCAGCAGACCCTTCCTCCATTTGGGGTGGTCCTAGGTGGTAGTCTCCCATGAGT